CACTCTTACAATACACACACACAAACACACACACACACACACACACACACACACACACACACACACACACACACACATTAAGTGTGCATGTGTCGAGGCAGCGGCCCTCCCTCTCCTCTGCACGGCTGATATCACTGTGCAACCATCAGCGCTGTGCATTGTGGGAGTGTCTGTTGGGGCAGAGAGACGCGACAGGGGCTGAGGGATTCACACGCCTCTGAAAGACAGCCAGAGGGAGAAAGAGGGAGAGAGGCAGGAGGGGAGGGAGGCAGGCAAAGAGAGAGAGAGATACGGAGGGGGCCGGTAACTGGAAATGAGAGATGGCATTTTAAAGAGGAAGCTGAATTTCACCTGCAATTACCGTAGCTCCGGGGCACATGGCTCGGTTAAGAGACATTTCATTCCAAAGCCACCGCGTATAGCTGCCGCACTGAGCCCTGAGAGGCGCATAAAGAAGGAGGGAGAGAGAAAATAGAGCGGTGGAAAACTCTCCTCTCCCCAAGATGGCCCTCAGCAGATGCAGTGATGAAAGAGAGGAGGCAGCCAGGGATGTAACTGGTAAATGAAACCAAAGCAACAACAAAAAAAACAGGAAAGGAAAGGAAACAAGGATAGATAGAAAGCAGAGAGGACAGAAAAATGGTATCTCATTGAGTTGGCCCCAATTCGGCCATCTGCACACCAGACCAGACAGCTGAACTGGGCCTCACGGAGCACACAAACACATGCACACACACACACTGAACAAAGAGCAAATAAAACGCAATAAAAACCGACACTCGCACTATCACAGTTAAATACAGAGGAAGCTGAATGTGTTTAATGATTAATAGTGTTCTTAGTATTCACTCTCTCCTCTTTCGATGAAACCTTGCTCTCTCTTTATATCTCTCTCAGAACTCCAATGGAGCCGTAATAGTTTCCCGGAGGCTCAATGTCCTGGCTAGTTTCACCAAGCACACTGCTGTGTTTCATAGGAGAAGTGTGACTGCACAAATACAGTAATGAGCCCTCACTGGGAGCCGGGGGCCTCCTGGCACTGCTAATGGCTCCTCTGGACTGCAGCTGTATCCAGGTTACAGCCGGGCCTGGACGGCCTGGACGGCCTGGACAGGTAGAAAAACGGTTTCCAAACCACAGGAACACACTGAAGTCAACAAACAAGGCCCATAGTGGACCATACTTTCTTGTGTGTGGGTGTTTGAAGTAGAGGAGGCGGAAAGAAGATCTGGGGAAGGGGTTAGTGGGGCAGGGAACTGTGGAGGATGTCAAGAGACAAAAGGCCACGCAAGAAACAGAGACCAAGAAATAGAGACAGTTGAAGAGATGTGGTTTGGCAATAAACGCAGAAGATAGACCCAATAAACCTGGAGGCTCTCATGGGGCAACAGCTGGCATCGGGTGAGAGTGGTGTGTGTGTATGTGTGTGTGTGTGTGTGTGTGTGTGTGTGTGTGTGTGTGTGTGTGTGTGTGTGTGTGTGTGTGTGTGTGTTTGTATGTGTGTGTGTGCGTGCGTGCGTGCGTGCGTGCGTGCGTGCGTGCGTGCGTGCGTGTGTGATGAGAGCGAGAGAGTGATAGATAGATCAAGTGAGTGTCATAATAACACATTAAGTTAGGTTTTAAAACCTTTTTTAAGCAAATTAAACTTCAAATAAACATAACAGTAAATAATCCGATGACAACAAAAAACAATAAAATAAAACTTAACCAACTAATTTTACCTTCAAACTCAATTAACAATGTGACAAAAACCGTACATTGTGTGGGCACATTCTGATCAAGAACAGAACTTTATGACGGCCAAATCATATGTTTTTTTAAACAGCAAAAACTTGTGGCTGATGTTCGTGCAAATGATATCAAGATATCATACAAATATTATATTGGGTGAGCATGATGCGATAAGGTTCCTAGGTAAGTGCAAGTGATGGCAAAGGCTTGGCCATCTCTTGTTTTCAAAGCTGACAGCAGAATAGGCATTAGCGCTGAGACGAAGGAGCTCAAATTGCAATCCCGTTGGTGTGGGGCTAAAAGGTTTGTAATGCATGGAGTTTAAAGGTCTACTCCTAATGTTTCCTAAATTACTGGCATGCAATTATGTTACATTTTGACACCCCGAACTCAGCATTGTGTGTCCAACATCTCCCCTGTACCACAACAAACACATTAACACACACACACACCCCCACACACACAGACCCACTTCCTTTGTTGCCCTCTCTGGGAAATCTCACAGCTTGGGTTCTTTAGCTCCTGTTTTGTCTGGACCTCCATTCAAAATGGCCCCCTTATGACCATGCACATTATTGTCCGGGCAGGCAGCCCCCGAGTGGACTGAGGCTCCCTGGGTGCGAGCAGTGATTCATGGCACAAGGGTCTGTAAAAGAGCAGCCTCGCCCCACGATGCAGCCCTTCATGGGGACAAGGAAAACAGAGGCTGTTTGGCAATGGGGGTGAACCCTGTTGAGCCCACACGAGAAGGGGGACGGTCAGTGTGTGTGTGTCTGTGTCTGTGTCTGTGTCTGTGTGTGTGTGTGTGTGTGTGTGTGTGTGTGTGTGTGTGTGTGTGTGTGTGTGTGTGTGTGTGTGTGTGTGTGTGTGTGTGTGTGTGTGTGTGTNTTTCTTTCTTTCCTTCCTCGCAGATCAAGACACTCAGAATAGAAACACTGGCATGCAGCTCTGTTGAAACACACACACGCTGAGATGCGGATGGAAATGCTGGCCCCACAGGACACACACACACACACACACACACACATACACACAGACACACACACACCCACATAAAGAGCGGACTGCTGTGGGGCTGACGCAAGACTATCTCTGTCTCACGTGTCTCTCCCCTACGGCCGCCCGCTGCTCCTGACCTTCGAGATGTTTTTCTTTTCCCTCTCCCTTTATTCCTCTCTGTTTCACACTCACACAACACACACACCTTCGCTCTCTCACTCACTCACTTACTTACTCGCTCAACACACACACACACACACACACACACACACACACACACACACACACACACACACACACACACACACACACACACACACACACACACACACACACACACACACGTACTCTACTACTCACACACACACACACACACACACACACACACACACACACACACACACGACACACACACTCTCTCTCACACACACAGACACACACACACACACACACACACACACACACACACACACACACACACACACACACACACACACACACACACACACACACACACACACACACACACACACACACACACACACACACACACACACACACACACACTCCTCTCTTTCTTGTACACTTCCCAGCCCCTCAGTATTTTGTCATTTAAAGGCATTGCGTTTCAGGCCTGGATCAAGCAGATGGGGCTGCGTAAGCATGGCTGCTTTGTCACGCAGCACCTTGGCTTAAATACAGATAGTCCACATGCACTCCTCCCTAAATGCATGCCATGCACACAAACACACCTTCCTGGAAGCAGAGAGACAGCCCAGTTGTGGATGGCTGCTTCATGTGGGCACTGTGTAGCTAATGTTGTGTAATACCAAACTGAAGACATGCTCTACAAAACAGGAACGCAACACAGCAGACAAAGGTATCATCTCAAGCCAGAGAGAGCACCCTAATGTATTCAGTCCTTTATGGAGACCAGTGGTTCGTGCTTTCTATTGACAAAACACTCACAAATACACTCACATATAGGTCAATGGGTTCATAAGATACGCACTCTCTCAAACACACACACACACACACATAAAATAATGATATGCCCATACCATTAGACACATTTCCCTGTCTTTCTTTCATTTTCTCCGAACATTTGCATATTCCTCTGGGTGTTTGAGCTGAGCAGCTCTTTCCCTTTCCCTTCTCTTGTCTTCCAAGCAACAAATGTCAGCTAATTACACCATGGCAGTTTGGATGAGCTCCATCTTTCCCTGTGCTCTGCTGTGCTTGTTCTCTATGGGGCTGCATGAAGAGTCAGGCATCCAAGACACCAGTTAGGAACAGCCAGCGGTGGGGGTTGATTTACAAGGCTACAAACCCCCCCCCCCCCTCCCCTTTTAGACATTGATTCCCCAAGAGAGAACTCATCAATACTTATCACAAATGATACAACCAGCCCGCACCAACTTGAGGGGGATATAATGTATCCTTCACATCCAAGGATGAAGCAATGGCGGCTGGATAGAATCAGGTCTGGTCACATAAGAGCAACAAGAATAAAAACGTTTTTTACAAAAGATCCCATTTGATCTTGTGACACACTTGCAGGCACAAGTCCATCAAGTCAGGTAGGAGAGAAAAGTGCAAGTCATTGTCTGTGTGTGGAGCAACAAACTGCCACCTTGGTGTGTGTAAAGTGAAGCCTTGAGGACGCAGCCGCGCCCCTGAGTGCTGCTAGTTTTCACACAGAGACACAGAGAGAGAAAGACAGAAAGAAAAGGACGGAGAGAGGAGGAGATTACAGCTGCACATGGCAACACTCATAAACAACTCAGCACAATCCCAGATCCTCACCCCCGAAGCAACATAGGGCACAGTTGACAACCATTTACATTCAGCATCGGCTCTGAACAGATAGCAAAGTCAAAGGATGTTTATTAGGCGCGTACGTTTCAGACAAATATTCTGATTAGAATGGGAGAAATGGAATTAATTGCTTGATTCACTGAATGAACCCCGCATTTGTAATGTAATCATAACAACTGCTTTTCAAGAGGCTCTTGTTCAATTTAATTGGGGGAGAAAAAAACATCCTCTTTCACTGAATGAATGAAAATCAAATTAGGCCTGAAACTGGAGGAGTCGGCAAGTTTGTTCTGGCGTGCCATGAAAACAAAACCTGCAAAAAGCAGAAGTGTGTGACAAGATTTTTTTTTTAAAAGACACGCGTCAACTGTTTTGTAACGCTCAAAATATATATACCACAGGCGCGGAGGGTAAAAGAGGAGATGTGAATGTTGTTAACATTGTGTACTCACTGTTAGAGATGTCTTCAGCTCTTTGACATAACTGCTGTAACACCTGCAGAAAAAGCAGAAATAAAAAATCAGTGTGGTTCAGGTTAAAAATACAAAGTGACTTATGGGAATGAAAAAGTGTTTCCAGCATGCTTTCATTTATATGATAATAAAACAAAAGACGATATGCAGTATTGTGATGATGCTGGAAGTGTTTCCGTTTGAGAGCCTAAAGGGTATGGAGCCCCAGAAAACTACCTGGATATCAAAGTTAGAGTTACAGAGCTTAGTATCTGTGGTTTTCAGACACATCAAACAGAAAATACAGTGACGTCTGAAACACAGCTGTGGCGCACACACACACACACACACACACACACACACACACACACACACACACACACACACACACACACACCCAGTGTTTCAGCTTGTGTGGGAAGCTCCCTAACAAGGTTTTGTTGACAGTAAACACATCCATCTGGTCACAAGCAACAGAATCAAGTCTGGTGGACATTTCATGAGCGAGTATGTGGTCAACGATACATCCCTTCTTTTTAATTAGTAATATCGCACACAGTTTGAAATAGATGTCCTTTTCACAGCTGTGTTATGAAGTAATATCTGTAAATGTCCCTTTTTAGAGTGACTGCCGTGGAAAATAAGAAAATGGATATATTGCATTTCCTGAGCCTAAGTGATTTTCTTTTGTATGCCCTCCAGTCATGTCTAAGTCTGTGATACATAATGCTACACACATCTGTCATTACAACTCAATTGATCACTGAACAGCAATCACCTAGACTAGCGCTGTTGATAATAACCGCACTGATCGAACTGCAATGGTCCCGTTCATTATCTGCTCTTACACCGACAGACTGACAAACACACACACACACACACATGTACACAGACTACAGACACACACTTTGATAACTCATCGCATTGATAACGATAACAGAGAGCCAGGTAGGCTGAATTCATCTTCAGCTTTTTCATAAAAGCCTATTAGTGGATGATTAAAGGATCTCTGCTCATGGGGCTTCAGCACAGAAAATGATTTGCCAGCCACAAGGCAGGTGAATTACACTGGATAAGAAAGCCAGTGCTGTCTGCCATCATTTGCCTGACTGAGAATCAGGCTGTTAGTCTATTAACCTTCTCTTACTGTAGGATCCTACCAGCTTTACATCAATGGCACATGGATGAAACATCACAAAAGACTCTACTAAACGCCTGTAGTCTTCTTCAACTCATATACTATCATCATAAATTATTGAATTGTTAGCTTCAGCCCAATTATCAATATATGATAACTATTACCCCGATATGACGTCATCACATTGATAATTGTGTCTGTCTGGAAGTCCAAAGCCTCAAGATATTTCGTGTGTAGTCAAATAAGACTTTTATTTGAAACTGATTGAGATTATAAGCGTGTGGTGCAGTGGGTTGTGCGTAGGTGTTGGGATCAGGGGGTCACAGGTTCAAACCCCACTGCAGTCAGCATGTCGTTGTGTCCCTGGGCAAGACACTTCACCCCAAATTGCTCCTGTGGGGATTGCCCACAGTACTGAGTATGTAAGTCGCTTTGGATATGTAATGTAATGTCATCATTTGACCATTATTAACTAATTGTTGCAGCTCTATATGATATATAACAATTGAACAAACTGATATGTAAAATAACAAGTCAGATTTAAACTATGATATCACACAAGCATAAAAGAAGGTTTAGCTGGGTGTCCATTGAATGACAGAACACAAATCATCACAAGAGCTATTTGTGATAGCCTCAAGCCAACAAAATGACAACACATTACTGCCATAACTTATGTTAGTGACCTTATTTCCTTTTGGGTAACAATCCAAATGCCATTTTTATTATAGCCATCATTACTTTGTAATTTCCATCTAATTAACTAGAAAGGTTATAAAACACAAGTGGAAAAGGAACTATCTGCAGAGTTATAATGACCTGCATTTAGACTCCAGGCATGTTTGCACATGGACAGTGTACAACAGAACTGTTATGACGTCTCTCTGAATTGTCTTGTTTGGTTTCTCTAATCTGCTCACCCTTTGCCTCAGCCACACAGATGTTGACTTTACTTTAGGCTCGCAGGCAACTGCAGGGTTGAACACAAAAGGTCTGTTCTAGCCACAAAAAGACAAAGAAAAGGGAAGAAAGAAAGACAGAAAAAAAGAAAGAGAGAAAGAAAGAAAGAAAAGTATGTTTCATGCGAGGCTCCTTTAAAAAAAACCTCTGTAATTTGAGCATGAAAAACAAGTTGACTCTGAACAGACACATATTGAGATGGGCCTAAAATCCTTTGCTTTTTAATATTTGATGCCTTGTTAGAAGAGCGACACTGGTGAGGTGTTTGCATCTGTTGTCTCTGTTGATCTCTGGCACACCAGCCCAGTGGGAGTGAGTTAGCCAGACTTGGCCGCAGACATTTTCCTGATGCCCCAAGAACAAAACAAGCACGTCTTGACAGTCTGTCCGCCACCGACTCGTCACACAATCAGTTGCAGGAAACCAATCCCTAAATAGCAGTGATTCATCTCTTCATCACACACAATGCCCGTACACAGTGCACAAAGAAGCTCTCTCTTCCTCTCTCTCTGTCTTACCCTATCTGCCTCAACCCCTTCCCCCCCGGTGTGGTCTCTCATGCTGCTTAAAAATAAGTGCTTCTCCCAGCTTTCTTCGCCGTGTGATTTACTGGCAGTGTTTAACTGCAGGGCAGCATCTTTTATTGTTACATGATCCGGGGCTGAAAGCTGACAAAATGGAATCTACCTTTGTATATGTTCAGGGCAAAGTAGGGAGCGGGTGGAGGAATACAAAAACTTGTGTGAGAAGCGTTTGTCTAAGTGCAATTCAAATCCTCCCAGCCTCCCGGTGCTGTGTGTGTTTGTCATTCCACTAAATGGTTTCTTCCTTGACTTGATGGAGCAAGTGCCATCTCAAGGGAACAGGTTACACCACACACATAAAGTAAAGCGCTATGAGACTGGAAAAAGCTCAGAACATTAGTGCCATCCATTTGTGAGCGGTAAAATATATATATGAAATACCCAGCAGTATTGTGTGCCTGTGTCTTCTTCTTTGTATATGCATGTTTTTGTGTTTCCATGATAACTCTTCCCCTAATGGCAGAGAGCCCTCGTTGCTGCATTAGCCAATCCACTTCCTTCCCTTACTTTTCTTTGCAGAGATACATCTCCTTCAGATCAGATATGCAATCAACCTGGCCTGGCATGGTGACTGTGCACCGTTCCATTTGGAACAATGATATCAGTACAGTATGTGAGCAGATCATCAGCAGAGGATAATCAGTGCGGCACAGGCCCACACAACAGGTTCGGTGTATAGTTACAGCCTCGCTGATCCATCAAGATGACGTGTGAAGGTCAGAGTAGCCGTGACCAACACAGCTGTCACATCTCCTCCCAGCACCCTGTTGGATAACTGGCCTTCCAAAACACTCAGCACGAAACACGGCCAAGTGGGAAGCACGGGGCCAAGGCCAGCAGAACATGCCTGCTATAACCCAGGCTGAGCTTGTTTCCTGACATGAACACCCGCTATAAAATAACTTGGAATCAGAGCTGTTTCAAACGACAACTGCAACTATGAAAATAAAACTCTAGGCATACCCAACAATGAAAATATTTAGACGTATAGTGTTTGCATTCAAGATTTGATTCAACACCCAATACAGACATTTATAAATGACTACCAGCTCTGTGGAGTAAAATGCTACAGTTGAGCTGTGTGGAGAGCAGATGTGAATTCACTTTGATTGTGTGTGTGTGTGTGTGTGTGTGTGTGTGTGTGTGTGTGTGTGTGTGTGTGTGTGTGTGTGTGTGTGTGTGTGTCACTATTAAATGCATCTGCTGTCTCCTTGATCAAGGGAGTCAATAAAGGGCCGGTCCTGTCAAACCCTCAGGCATGAGTGTATATGCACATGCCTGTGTGTGTGTGTGTGTGTGTGTGTGTGTGTGTGTGTGTGTGTGTGTGTGTGTGTGTGTGTGTGTGTGTGTGTGTGTGTGTGTGTGTGTGTGTAGTAGTGTGTGTGTGTGTGTAGTAGTAGTAGTAGTAGTAGTAGTGTGTGTGTGTGTGTGTGTGTGTGTGTGTGTGTGTGTGTGTGTGTGTGTGTGTGTGTGTGTGTGTGTGTGTGTGTGTGTGTGTAGTAGTAGTAGTGTGTGTGTGTGTGTGTGTGTGTGTGTGTGTGTGTGTGTGTGTGTGTGTGTGTGTGTGTGTGTGTGTGTGTGTGTGTGTGTGTGTGTGTGTGGGTGGGTGGTGGGTGTGTGTGTGTGTGTTAGTGTGTATATGTGTGTATGTGTGTGTCTGTGTGTTATGGTCAGAATCTGAAGTACTTTGACAGGTGAGTGATTGAGTGCTTTCATTTCCCTCCAGCGACAACAAGACATGCACACACAAACACACATGTAATACACACACACACACACACACACACACACACACACACACACACACACACACACACACACACACACACACACACACACACACACACACACACACACACACACACACACACACACACACACACACACACAAACACACACACACAAATCTGTCCTTATACAGATCACAAACATGTGTCACCTAATTATCACTCACTATAGTCTGTGAGTCCTTGGCAACATAACATGAGAAGCATCCATCTTACCAGAAATAAGGAGATGGGTTGATATCTAAAAGCAACATGTGGCTCTAAATGGTGTTTAAACAGCTGCAACAAAACATTTCATTCACCAGGTTTTCTGCTATGGGGGGACAGTGTTTCCACATTACACTTTTTTAAGAGTGCAGTCTTGGCTTCTGCTGGTGGGGGGAGGATAGGATATGCTTGCCGACATAGAGACAGGGAGAGAAAGGAGGAGAAAAAGAGAAGGGGAATGAGGGAGGTCAGTGCCCCCAGTCTCAGATAAAGGCCCTCTCCCTCCCTTCTGCCTCGGCTTTCGAAGCCCCTGCCAGGATCGAGAGGCGTCTCACGTTACAGCTGTCTCTCAGTGTCATCGTTCAGT